AACCTACAAGCGCGCCAGGAAAATAAGCAATTGCACACTTGTATTTTCACCTTCCAGTATTAGGGATGGGAAGTTATCTCATTACCTCACAGTGCCTTTCAGAGGAGGCCCTCACAAAATACCTTCTTACCTGTCCAGGGAACAATTTCCCTGGCATTTCTCCTGTGAAAATTTCCTTTGCCCCCTCCGCAAATTCCACATTTAATAGCTTCACCAGAGCAGTCAGAGTTCTTGGACCATGTGCCTCCACTCAGAATCAGGATTAAACTAATTTGTGCATATCTTCTGGTCCTCTTAGTCCTCAAATTTAATGTAAAAACTTTTTGAATTTCTGATAAATAACACCTGCCTCTAATTAGAAGCATTATTTAATCAGTTTTCACCTGCTTTCCACCTTATTAGATTCTTGTCACACCCCTGTGTATGACTTGAGCATCCTGCTTGAACACAAACATATTGGCCACCAAAATATGCCAAAGATGTCTTCTGATGGCAGGAAGTATTTAATATTTCAGTTACATGATATTATAGTTCTCACAGCACAGTAACAAAGCACCAGGGGGAAAAAAGTAGCCACAAAACAAAGAACTTCAGAGAAATCTCAGGAGACAGTGATTTTCTCCTGAAAATCTCTAGTGCTACTCAACTTCTAGTGTTCCAGTTTTCCATTTTAAAACCAGACTTTGTTTCATCTGTACTTGATATTGCATATAATATTGTCACTTTTAAAGATTAAAGCAACATTAATATTTTGAAAGATCTACATTTAAAAAAATAATAACCATTTTAAATTCTTCTTGTCAGAGATTTTTGTAAAGGAGGGGGGTTGTTCTATGCACCCTTTCAAAATTTCTAAATCCTCCACAAAATAGCATTCCTGTCTTTCATGAAGCTCTTAGGCTATAAATAGATACACTTTGTAATGTAGATGTAGCGTATAGGTGTAGTCACCAGTGGAAGGTGGTGCAGACCTGCCCTGGGACTTGCACTGATTCAGTGGCATGCAGAAACCACGCTCACTCCTGTAGTAAACAAGCCCCCACTTGCAAACAGTGCCAGAAACAGCTTTTATATGTACAACAGCACAAATCCAGAGCAGCTCTACTGAGGCTGGTGGATATGACCCTTCTCTCGCTTATATTAGTTTTATTCTATTAACTACAGAGGAATAAAACCTGAGATGAAAACCAGACTCCATCAAGTAAACTCTGGGCTTGAGCTGCTGCAAGAAAAGGAAGCCTGGGCCGTGGAGCGGTGCGAGGGTCTGCCAGGAGTCTCGGCAGCTGCAAAGTTGTTATTTGCAGCTCTCGCTCCTCTCTGCTTCTTCCATCTTAGGGTCTGATGAAAAGGTCATTAACATTAGGGGAACCCCTCCATTGCATTTCCAAAAGATGTAAGGCCATTTCTCCAGTGCACAAATGCCATTCATCTGGCACACGAGCAGTGAGATTGCTACTTGGATGTGGATACAAAACCCCTGTATCCTGCAATGTGCTCTACTTCTACGTTTTATTCTAGTCAGTAAGTCCCAGTGCAGTTAGCAACTCGGGAAATTTGGCCTGTCATCTGTAATCTTTGAAGTGCAAACTTCAGGCTCATGCAGAACAGAAAGCAGAAGTGATGTCTGTATTTGCAGGTGAGCAAAGCTGCAGACTTCAAAGGTTTAGTATTAGTCTGTGAAGCTTCTTAAAGATTGTCATCTGAGTTTCTCAAAAGCTGGCTGAAAATGCATCCGCACATCCAGATAAACGTGTTCTTTGATCTGAGTGATAAAAACAACTGTTTTTCTACATGTAAACTCCTTTTTTGTAAATGTTTATGAACTGTGGGAAATTATGTCTCTGCCAGAATTTAAAATAAAGTGATTCAATGGGTTTGCTTTACATTTACCATTCATTATGCTCAATAACTTTGCAGGAATCCCAACGGAGTTTTCAAGGAAGTTTCACGGTGTTGTAGTTACCAGGGAAACACATGATAAATTGTTGCTATCTAAAAAAGAAAATCCCCATTAACTTTCTATTAAAGAGCAAGCGATGTGAACTATATGAAGAAATGCCTTTACATTTACCCTATTAAGATGCTGTATGTTTTGTTTCAAGATCAAATAAAATATTGTCCAAGCTCTGACATTTTTATTCATTGTGAACAGCACCTAGCACTTTACAGTCTGTGGTTTACATTGTTAAATTAAAGACAGTCCAGTATTCAGCTGGGTCAGACCCAGGAACAGCAGACACCGTGTGATCGTTACTGCAGTTAAAACATTTACAGACAAAGCTTTGCTAGAGAGAGGTTTGATTCTTCCATCCTAAGCTAGCAAAACCACCAGTGTATTTCACACCAAAATGAAGGGGGTTTGCCAGCCCCCATGGCTTGTACAAGATATTCAGTCCCAGTAAAAGGGTTTACAGATTGAGCAGCCAACTAACTCTGCATGGTATAGACAAGGTTTCTCAGCATATGGCTACGTTAGTTTTTTGGACTTGGAGCACAATTGTGTGTACACAAGTGTCGCATCTCACATATCACCTTGGCCCTACAAATCAGTGGTAGAGACATGGATGCTCCAGCCTTACCTTGCCCTTGGTGCTCCAGGGAGTGAGAACACTACATGACATCACCTAAGCAGCCACACCGAGATACTGGAAAACTTCCTTGATCAAGCCCTCTTTGACCTCTTGCAGATCAGGTGGGCAATTTAAGAAGTAATCATCACCCTCAGCCACCACCTCTCAAAGGGATCTGATGTCCCCACTGTCTTTTGGTCAGTCTCCAGTCTTTGACACTGACCACAAGAGCAGCTCTAACCTTACTGCAACACAAATAGGCTGCCTAAAAGCACCTTCAGCAAAAGCTAAATTAAATCTGGCTTCTTCCACACTAAAATGTCCTAAAAGCACGTTTCCTTCCCTGTCCTCTCCTTCACAGCCATCAGTTACAGTATCTCGGCCGAGCAGAAGATATCTTCCAACAAAGAACAGTAATTTCTCCAGCTGCTTCAACCTGATTCACATTTGTCTGCCCATGTCTGTCACACTCAAGCCTTACAAAGTCCCTGAATCACTACAGTGAGTAAAAAGGATTATTCGCATTTAAGAGGTCACCCTTGAATTGATGAGAGACATTCAGTAGCTGACTTCCCCAAGTTTCCACTGTGAACTAACAAGACAGCAGAGACATTGTCCAGTTTCTTGCTGTATTATTCCCACCTTGCTACTCCCTGGATTAAGGAAGGCATTAATTTCATTGGAGCTCATGTTAGGGCATCTAAGCTTTGTACCACAGGAGAGGATCTTTAGAAATATTTCTGGCAAATGGAGACAGCATTATGGGTCAGGTGAATGTAGGAATTAATGTTTGCCTCCTGATGAGACAGAGCAATGAATGGCTCTGAAAGTGAAGACATGCAGCTCACGGTCAATGTGAAGGAGAAAGAGGGTCATATCAAAGTGAAAGTTGGGAAGATGATACTACAGGGCAGGAATGACAGATGCTTTGCTAAAGAAGTGAAATGATGAGAGTTTAGGTGAGAGTTTTGGCTTCTGGGGTTAATAAGAAAATCAGGTTTCACAAGGCATCACACAGAAATAATCTGCAAGATTTAGACACAGCCTGGATGTGAGGCTCTAGACAGAACTGAAAGAGCAATGAGAGCTGCAGGCAGGGTAGAGGTGATGACAGAGAGCAAGAGGAAAGATGGTGGGAAAGGGAAGACACAGTGAGCCCAGGAGCACTACTGGCAGGGCTTTTCCTTGGCACATCCATGGACCCATTCCTGC